ACCCTAACCCTAACCCTAACCCTAACCCTAAACCCTGACCCTGACCCTGACCCTGACCCTGACCCTGACCCTAACCCTAACCCTGACCCTAACCCTGTGGACAAAGGGAGCAGAGCTCTGCTGCCCACCCTGGGTCCTGTGCACAGGTGAATGGATTCAGCACCCTCGGGGAAAACATCGCTGACAACGGAGGGGTGCGCCAGGCATTCAAGGTGGGTCCCAGTGGAGGGGCAGGGCCTGGGCAGGGGCTGGCTCCTCTCCTCCAGGCTGCGCAGGCAGCAGTGCTCCCCAGAGCGCCTCCTGCCTCTGGGCAAGTACTGGGCATCGTGGCCCCCTGAGCTGGTATGGAGGCCACTCTGAGTGAGACAGACGCTGGGCAGGGACCACTATAGGGAGAGGGCAATGGGACACCGTCAGAGACCCTGCCCTGCAGCACTTTTGGCCTTCTGTAAGCCAGTGTGACGTTTGTGAGATAGGAAAGTGGGAATTAAAACACACAGCCTCGGGTGCTTGTTCTGGGGGTGCAGCTGTTGGCCGCCTGGGCAGGTGCCCTGCTGGTGTCATTGCTGAGGAACAGAGGTGCCCACTTGGCCCAAACTGCAGACGCAGCCCCCCCCAGTGAGTCCTGGAGCCAGACCTCCAATCTGTGTGGAGATCTGAGGACTCCAGAGGCCCGGCAGGAGTGCCAGGTGTCCACCACCTCCTGGCGTTTGGTCCCCACAGGCCTACCTAAAGTGGATGGCGGAAGGTGGCAAGGACCAGCTGCTGCCAGGGCTGGAGCTCACCTACAAACAGCTTTTCTTTGTCAACTATGCCCAGGTAGCAGCACAAGCCCCAGCCCCACGGGCCCCACCCACCGTCTGTCTTTGGAGGGCCCACTATGTGTGCTCCAGGGACTTCCAGCTCCCAGAAACAGAGCCCGCAGGCCTGGCAGGCTTCCTGGAGAACAGGCTGGGCCGCCGGGTGCCGATGCAGATGTGGAGGGTGGGCACAAACCTGCAGGCTTCCATCCCTAAGGGGCAGCAGTACTGGGCGTCTCCCCCCAACCAAGGGGCACCACCCGCCCCTCTCAGCCCCCTTGGCCACGCTCCTTGTGCACCTGTAGGTGTGGTGCGGGTCCTACCGGCCAGAGTTCGCCATCCAGTCCATCAAGACTGACGTCCACAGCCCCCTGAAGTACAGGCAAGTGCACCGCACACCCCAGGGCCCTGCTTCATGCCGGCCGCCGCAGGCCCACTTCAGCCCGTTCCTCCACAGGGTGCTAGGCTCCCTGCAGAACCTGCCTGCCTTCGCTGATGCGTTCCACTGCCCCCGGGGCACCCCCATGCACCCCAAGGAGCGATGCCGCATCTGGTAGCCAAGGCCAAGCTGCACTCCATGGCCCACAGCACCCAGCCGGGAAGGGAGGTGCTCGGCCAAGAAGCTGCAGCAAGCGGGGACCGGCAGGGCCTGGAAGGGACACACATCTGCGCCCACAGCCCCTGTGCCCTCAGCCATCCTCTGCACTGGCGGGCACCCACAGGGTCCATACCCATAGCCCGGAGACACAGTCAACTGTCTTCTGCCCCTCATGCCTGTCCTCAGTGTCTTCAAGTTTCAGACTGGGCCAAATAAACGCTTCAAAGGTGACAACCTCGTTTTCTAGAAGGAGCTTTGCGTCAGCCAGGCAGCCTTGGCCAAGCGTGCTGGGTGGGGGAGTCAGAAGGGGGCAAGTGAGGAAGGAGGGGCTCCTGACAAGCTGTCAGCCTCCCAGTGCTGGGGACGCAGCAAGCAGGCCACCCCCAAACACCCACTTTCAGATGGGAGGGAGCCTGACTCGGGGGCAGAGGCCTGGAGGTGCCAGGGGCCTGGGGAATGCAGCTGGGACTGCAGATTTGGTTTCGTGTCATGGGAAATCAGAACGGCTGGACTGCAAAGGGGACACTGCCTGCTCTGTGTTTGTAAGTGTCTGTGGTGGGGAGACCAGGACATTATGATCACCCAGGCTTGGACCCAGGAGGCACAGGGAGGTGCTGAGGTCCTGAGAACCCACTAAGACCGGAGAGCCCTCCAGAGGAGAGGCCTCCCGTGGGGTTGGGGTCCAGACTCCTGCTCTGGACCTGTCAGGACCCAGTAGGAAGGTGGCTGGGAACTGCACATGCTGAGCTAGCGGAGACAGCCAGGCCAAGGCCGACAGCTGCTGCTGCAGGGTGCAAGTGACAGGTCTGCTGTCACAAAGGGTCTTCGCGTGGAGCTGTCCCAGAATGCATCTGGTGGAGTCGAAACCACCTCCTCCCTGAAAACCCACCCAACCCTCCAGATCCTCCAACACAAGTCCTGAGCTCCCGGGAGTCTTCAGCCTGGGTAGGGACCCACCCAAAACTTCCTCTCCCCAGCCTCGGCCTGTCCTGTCTGCTGGTCCCCGGACAAAGGTGGCCTAGGGTGCAAGGTCACATTGCAGGAAAGGGCAGGGCAGTGAGGGCCGTCCCCAGCAGCCTGCGTGCCAGAGGCCTGAGGTCTGCAGAGGCATGTTCCCTGCAAAGGACAATGACCTTCATGGTGGGATGATGACCTCTTGCACCCCCAGGGCGCCCCTTGGGACCAACAGTGGATGAGGTGGGAGCTGTAGGATCCACAGTGCATGGCCAGTGAAGAAAAGTGGCACCCAGGAACAGCAGTTTTAATGGCTCAGTGCTGCCCAAGAATGAGGCAAGGCCCAGCATCGTGGCCCTTGTTCCAGTCGAGCACCCAGCATTCTCTGGGCAGCAGACGCCTTCCAGGTGCACGGGGGCCGGGCTGTCACCTCCCACACAGCTCCTCGTCACACTGCAGGGAAATGGGCCTGGTCAGGTCTGCCACACTCCCAGGGGCCCTCTAACCACCCGTGCAGAGAAGGGGCACGCTGGCCACGGGAGGCAGCCTGGCCTACGGGCCACTCCTGTCCACCTGGGGCAGGAGGTCAGCCAGCAGGACCACACTAATCCAGCCAGGGACAGCTGACAGGCCCCGGCTCCTGCAGCTGAGAAGGCAGCCTTCTCTCCAGCCCGCTGCCCACAGGGGAGGACCAGCTCTGGCAGCCTGTCTGCCCACACCCCTCCCGGGCCCCTCCCAGCCTCTTTCCTCTGCAAATGGAATTGCGGGGACAGCAGCTCCAGAGGCTGCAGCTCCAGCCCTGCCAAGCGCACCATGTGCACCAGGGTGAGGGGTGCCGTTTACAGCAGGCCATGTTGCCCGGGCCAAACTCACCTGGGGCGGCTCGCTAGTGCCAACCTCTGAGGAGATGCCCAGGGCCTGCAGGATGCTCTCCCGGGGGACATAGTCACCCGGGGACTTCTGGACGAAGTGCAGCAGCACTTTATCACCACCTGTGGTAGCAGGCAGGTGGTCAAGGCAACCTGCACCGGGTACTCTGGTTCTACCACCCTGCCAAGCCGACACTTGGGGCCAGGCTACACCACAGAGGAGGAGCTATGAGGAGATGGACAAGCCAGAGATGGACACAGTACGGCCACCAAATCCAGCAAGGCCATCCCACTGAGGATGTGGCCTGACCCACCTTTGCTGACCACCAGCAGCCCTCCACTCTGCAGCAAGTCCCCAGACAGGTTCCCCTGGATACCAACAGCCTTGGCCTGGAGGAGAAGAACAGAGCCAGTCCTAGAGGGAAGCCCAGGGACTTCCACCACCCCTGGTCCCACAGGACCTTGGCTGCCACAAACCTTGGCAGCCACATCTCGCACAGGCTTCCCCAGGGCAGCTGGCAGGATGCTCAAGCTGTTGTACCTGCAAAGAACCAGCTCGCTGGGCCAGGTTCACTGGCAGAGCCTGAGCCCCAGTGCCTGCTCCCAGTCTCCGCCAGAGGCCAAGGCCAGCTCAGGTCAGGCCCCAACCCACCCACTCACCTCAACAGGGGCTCTGAGATGGCACCAGACAGCTATATCTGCAACCAGCCTGGCCAGGAGCAGCCACAGGAGCCACGGGGCACCCCGCCCGCAGCTGGCTGGCCTGAGGTCTGCATAAGGCATGGAATGTGGGACTGGTTTCCAGGCTGGGTGTGCCCAGGGATGTGGCTCAGTTGGCACTGCCAATCAGGGCAGGCAGCATGTGGCACCAGTGGCCAGCATGCTGGGCTCCAGGCATCCTCTGTCCTATTACAGACACCCACACCAGAAGAGCCCAGCAGAGGGGCTGGCCAGCTGAGGAAGGGCTGAGCAGACAGCTGAGGGAGAGTATGAGCAAGATGCATCAGGGAGCCGTAGGCACCCATCGGTGCTGCCACACAGACAGACACACTTACCGCTTGAAGCCCAGCTCCTTGTAGAGTTGCTTGCTCTCGTCCAGGTAGAGCTCTACAAAGGGAAGCCACAGGCGTGTGCCCCGGGGCACCCCGCTCCGCCTACCGCACCTGCCCTCCGTGCCCTGTCCGGTGACCACCCCGCTCAACCACCCAGGGCCAAGGGCACAGCGCGGCTGAGTGTCCCTACTGTTCAGAGGCGGGGCTGAAACCAAGAAGGGACCCACGGGACTCTGCCACTGCCCGAGGGCCTTGTGAGGCACAGCGCGGGGCAGGGAGGACATCACCACACGCGAGGCCAGACCCGGGCCGGGGGCGGGCAGAGGGAAGGGTCGCACCGCCAGAGAAGTAGCCGCCGTCCAGGAACTCCTGCAGGCCCAGGGCCTCGGGGCCCACGCCCACCAGGCGCACGCCGTGTTGGTCCAGGAGCCCGAGGAGGCCGCTGAGGTCGCGTGCGATCCAGCGACACACCATACAGCCGAAGCGCCGCAGCCCGGCCACCACGCACGCCTGCTCCTGCCACAGGCTGCGCAGCTCCACCGGCTGCGGGCAGGCGGCGGGGTCAGGGGAGCGAGGACGACCACCCCGGCCCCAACGCGCGCGCCCGCGAGGCCCCGGGACCCCACCCCGCCAGATAGGCACCCCCACCTCACCTCCCCGGTCACCGCGTGCTTCACGACACACGCGCCCACCCGGGCAAGGTCCACGGCGCTCATGGCGGCGGCAGCTTGCCTAGACCCCAGGTGCCGGATCCCCGCCTCGCCGAGGATCGCGCAGTACGCAGAACCCACGCCGCGCCCCGCCCCGGACCCGCCCCGGGCCCGCCCCAAGCCCGACCCCTCTACCGCCTAGACACGCCCTCATCCCCTCCCATCCTTGGGACTCCGATACCCAGCCCCGCCTCCTCGCTCCAGTCCCCGCCCCAAAAGGCCCCTCCTCTTCCCGACTCCTCCCCTGACACCCCCCTAACTCCACCCCATGCGTCCCTCCTAGGGGCCGGGCCGAAACTGGGTCGCTTCGTTTGCATATTCATAACCCGTTGGCCAATAGCACAGCAAGCAAAACTTGGCAGCCTTCCACACGCGGTGCGCTTGCGCGGAGTGTGGCATCCAGCGATTGGGGATGGATTCGCGGTTTGGCAGGGGTCCAGGGTTACCCGGAAGGAGCGTGTGGGCCTTGTCGCAGTGGACTGGTGCAGGGCCGGGCCTCGCCACCTAACCTGGTTTCTTCTTTCCCTGATCGTGCAGTTTTACCAGCTTCAAGCCTGGGTACACTGAGTCAAATAGGAGTGCAGGGGAAGCCGCTAAGGCGCCTGCGCCGAGTGGGAGCACCGCATGTATTTTGTGCATGCGGTCACTCTGTGGCTCAGGGACCTGGTGAGTGTGGTGCTCGTCAGCATTTGGCTGGGAAGTTCCTCTGTAATTGCAAAGAGGCCTCCTGCCCTTTGAAGATATCCCCTGTTTCCTCAGGGCGGCCAGGAGTGCTGCGTGCCGTGCTCTGGAGCTGGGAGGCCCGGTGGCCAGGGTTGAGTCACTGTGGGAGGAGCGCTTTAGGCCTGGGGCCTCACGAATGGTTACAGATTATAACGCGTGCAAGTCTCTGTTTCCTTGCTTAACATAACATTTCCGTGCTATTTTGGATTCCCAGCCGCCCCCGCCCCCGCCCTCACACTCCCTCCTCTCTCTGCCAGCAGTGGGGTCCAGCAGTGGGGGCCCGCTTGGCAGAGGGCCTGTTGCCTAGGCGACTGGCCTCGCCCCGCAGACCCCACAACCAGTTCCAGGGGCCCAGGTGGGGCTGAAGAAGGAAGGAGTGGGGTCGCCACATTGTCCACAGTCCCCCCAGAAAAGATGGAAAAGCTGAGGCCTGGGAGAGGGCTGCTGCCCTCGGCCTAGGAGGGTGGCGGTGCTGGGCTTGGTGCTGGAGAACCAGGTAGGGAAAGGGGGTTCATTTCCCAGGTCACGAAGGCAGGAAGAGTCCCTAGGAGCCCAGAGGAGGATACCGCAGGAGCCCGTCCTGGAGAGGGGAGGGCCCAGGTCCAGAAGCACCCTAGAAGAAAGCCAGAGGTGGAGAGGTGGTGTTGAGAGACTTAGCTTTTGCGTATGAATAGGCAGCTAGCAGGGGACAGGGCCTGAGGGGAAGCCAAGCCAGCCAGCCTTTTGGAGAAAACAGCACATACGCAAGGTGAAGCATTAAGGCTGTCCACGCAGACCCCAGCTTAGGGATGTAAAAGCAGACAGGGCCAAAGGACCGCTGCCCTCCTCCCTTTTGCTTCGTTCCCCTAAATTCTGCAGCAAGATTCCTGATGAGCCAAAGTGTGGTGATCGGTGTGTGGCTCCTGCGTGCTGTTTCTCTGCAGGTCGTATAGCGCATGGACCCAAACTACAGCCTAAGCCACCTTGGCCTCTCTCGGCCGGGGACTTGGCCACTAGATACAAAGGGCCCTAGACTAACGCCCACTCTGGCAGTCCTTTTTCAGGCCCCCTCCTAACTGTTGAGAGCTTCCCTCTCCTTATACTTCCATAAACACAACACTTAACTGCCTCTTTTGTCTGCAATTTCATTTTTCAGCTGAGTGAGGCACCAGCCCTGTTTGGATGGTAGCAGTGGCTCCCCTCCTGCAGGATCTGCTAGCGCCAGAGCCCTGCAGGCAGCCGCCAGCCCAGGAGGATGGACCGGTCTGCAGAGGGTGCTGCAGGCCGAGCGGCTGGTCCCTGAGTATGGGTACCACAAACCGATCTTTAAAAGTTAGAGTTTTTCTTTAGAAGCACATGGCTTCCCCAGATGCTCTCAGGCCTAGGGCGTGAACACCCACCCACATCTGTCCTCAGCCTAGAGGCATGGACAGAATCTGCAGATCCCAGCGCCAGGCGGTCAAGTCCACTTGCCCTCCCTTAGGTGACAGAGGGAGAGGTTCACGTCCAGGCAACAGTGGAAAGAGCCAGTGCAGGTCTGTTGTCTCATTGTCCTCTGCTCTCCTTGCTATAAAAGACCCAGCACACCTGTTCACAGGAGGGTGGAGATTCGAGCCAAATGGGTCCCTGCATCTCCTCTGAGCTGGCTTGGATAAATCCTCTTTTTACCAAAATTAATGGCCTCCTTTCAGTTGGTCCGGGGCAAGCACACGAGCCTGAGTGTCCAGTGCCATGTGCAGCTACCCAGATACACACATGCGCACTGTTCACATGGACACGGCAGGGCAGCCAAGCTTTGCTGCCATCCTGCCCGGGGCCTAAGTGAACCCCAGGCCTGAACTGTTGGGAGATGGGTCAGCAGGAGGAAACCGTTCAAGTCCATTTGCTGTAAGTTTTATGGAGTACAGGACCCCTGCTCAGGGAACGAAGCCCCGGGAAAGCAGTGGGAGCCACTCCGTGCCTTTGGCGTCTCGTCCTTGGGGATGAGCGTGTTGCTTCTTCTCCCAGGGTAGGGATGGTATCTTTCACATGGAAATTCATCCTCTGCTTGAGATGAGCCTGGATTTTCAGGAATTCGTTATTTATTCCGTGAGAACTTTGACCTTTGAACTGTGGGGTCCAGCACCAACTGCTCCTTTCTACAGGTGGCACCCAGGCATCCCGCCCCCGTCAGCCCCAGCCCCAGGCTGCCCACGCACGCACATTCTCGCCCAAACCCCCGTCGACACGGTAACCTCCAGAGAGAGAGATTCCCTGGGGAACGAAGATGCTCACCAGGGCCACAGGTGCCCTCGCAGACAGCAGCAGAGCCAAGGAGGCTGCAGACGGGGGCTTTTCAGAGGCTGTATGAGTAGAGCTGCATGAGCTGCCCTTGGACTTTGATTCTCCCGCCTCAGCCTGCCAGTGGCTGGGATCACAAGCGTGGGCCTCTGCACCCGGGTTAGGTGTATCATTGTTGTGGGGCATTGCGGCCTCCAGGAATTCACCGTGGAGACTTAGGAACCTGCTCCCACATGTGTGCGGGTGCAAATGCAGGTGTGGACATCGAGGCAGGCGTGCAGATATGCAGGTAGCAACCTAAGCGTGGCCAGCCCTGCCCCCAGGTACCCCCCAGCCTACTCCCCCTGCCAGCCAGGCCCGAGCCACATCTGGAGCTCACTTCCTCTGCTGTCCACCCCACCTGGTACCCCCACATGGTGTGAGGCTTTCTTGTGGGGACCTGTGAGTGACAAGCTAGCTTTGCCTGATCTGGTGACCACACCACACCTGAATCACAATAAACTGCACAACACAACAGGCCAGCGGTGAGGAAGCGCCGTGTCCTGTGGGTGCTAGTTCCAGTGGGAAGCACTCGGGGCCACAGTGCGGTTCACAGTGTGGTTCTCTGCCTGCTTCCACTCCTCAGCCCGGAGCTCACAGGCCCACCAGCCCTGGTGAGCAGCTGTCCGGGACATGGCCATCCCTACTGCAGGTGGCAGAGGGCTTTAGGTTAGGGTTGGGTCCAGGGCTGCCCTCCCGGGTCAGAGGCCCCGGAGAGCCCTCTGCATGCTGGGTGAGAGGACGTAGTTCCTTAGCCACAAGAGGCCTGAGCCCCATCACCGTGGGTGCCAGTGCTGCCTGGCTCCAAGGGCCACCCTGTGGAGAGCCTGTGTGCCAGCCAGCCCTCCCTCCTTGACTGGGGGACCCCTCTCCCTGTGATATTGTCCTTGCAGGAGAACAGGACTGGCTGGTGCCCACAGTGTGGGGTTCATTGGGACTCTTGCTCTATCCCAGCAGGACATCCCTCCCTCAGACCACAGGACCCTACCCCAGACCTCAGTGCTCTCAATTTCCCTCCCCAGGCAGCCACTGCCTCCAGCACTCTGTCCCCCAGGATGGCCCATGGCAGCGGCCTCTGAAGAGCCGCCCTGGAGATGGGCAGAGTCTGGAGCAGGTGACCACACCCATCCCGGGGAGGGACAGCAATGGGCCAGGTGGGGCAGCACCATGGGCCAGCAGTGAGCCACAGATCTGGGCAAATGAGGAATTAGCCCCATCCCTGCTGGGGTCTGGGCTCTGCACCCCGAGTTACTCAGCTGTTCAGTCAGGACCCCTTGGGGGGCAGGCACCTGAGCTCCCTCCCCCAAGCCGAAGGAAAGGCTGCTGGTGGCAGGAAGAGTGGCCAGCGAATGGCCACCCCCACAGGTCAGGGGGCCAGGGTGGCACTCAGGGCAAGAGGGATCACCGGGAGAGACAGAAAAAACACGGGGCAAAAACCAGCGACTCACATGGTAGAATTATTGCAGAGAGCTAAGTTACTTAGATATTATTATACGGCAGTTGGACAAAGCTGGGCCCTCAGCACAGAAAAGCAACTGAGGCAAATTCACTGGTTAGCACTGTAAAAAGAAGAGGTGCTGCCTGCCCTAGAGATGAGTAGCAGTGATTGACATTCTAAATAGACATCATCTCCCTGGCCCATTTCCTTTCCAGAAATTCCTCGTACCTAACTTGTTTTCCCATTGGATCCCCATTTAATCAATATTACCTGCGTGACTGTGCTTGTAATCTTATTGATTCATCATGGTTTTGCCCCACCTTATGCCCACCTTGTAATTTTCCATTGTAAAATTTTCCATTTTACAGTTTTGTCCCACTTTGTACCAGCCTCACCTCGTGGCTTTGCCCAATGAAACAGCTCTGAAAAGCTGGGTGGGCAGGCAACCCACTTTCCGGTTCCCCACTGTCTCTCTTAAAATCTATCTTTCTCTCAATAAATTTTTCCTACTCTTAACCTCTGTTGTTCCCAGAATTTATTCTTCAGTTTTAGAGAACACAAACGAGCTTCAGATATCTAGCAGGTTTCAGAGTTGCATCTATTCCCCTGGGTCAGAATCAGCCCATGTCACATGCTCATCTGCAGCTGACATCATCACATGCTCATCTGTGTACCATGTGCTTGAAAAACAATGTACCCTCCTGCATCTTTGTGAAAACGTTACTCACGCTGAAGAAATCCCCAAGGGCCTCGTCTCCTTCCAGAAACCAACACTAAGACCCCAACTGGCCAGCCCACACCACGTCTGGCCCTGCAATTATGAGCACATCTCATGCTCCCCGGGCATCCCTAGCAGGGTGCCACCGTCTTGTGGCCCGCTCTGCCGTGAAGATAGCTTTTTTTCCTGCTGCTTCTGCATTTGCCACACTTTAAGTAAACTAGCTTCCCACTCTACCAGTCATGACTCTAAGAGCCTCACTTCTTCATTCTTTGCTGAAGTGAGAGCAAGGACCTGAAGAGAGGCAGAGGTCATGGGGGGGCCCTCCTCCTGCCTCAGAGACCCCTGCTGGACGTAAGAGCAGGAAGATGGGCAGCTCTGCCCTGGCACACCCTGGGCACCTGAGGGTTCAGAGGCCCAGGGACTCCCAGGCCAGGAGCCCAACAGGCACAGTGTGAGGGGGTCCTGAGGGAAGAGCGTCCTCGGGGCTGGGAGTCAGGGACCCTGAGGGTCTGTGGGTTGAGGCTCCTCCCTCCCCGCAAGAGCTCCCCAAACCCTCTCCCTGCTGGTCCCCCTGCACCTAATAAGTACAGGGAGAGCCAGCCCTGGGCACCCTGATACTGCCCTGGGCCATGCAGGGGCCCAGGGTTGCTGCTGGCTCAACAAGGAGGTCACTGATTCTAGGATTCTCAATGGACAGTTAGGAGAGGTAGATCAATGTACAGCAGGGCTCACAGGACAAAACTGGGACATGACAGTGAGAGAAATAGTCACAGCTATGGGTTTGATCCTGGAAACACAGTAAGAGGCCACCAGGCGGTGGTGCCGGGGAGGGATGGGAAAAGGGGAAAAACCCTGTCACCAGGGAGCCCCGAGTGATGCAGAAGACAGGACTGCAGCATAACCGGGCCCATGAGAGACAGGAGGATCACACAGTGACGAAACGCTTCTATACAAATACAAGTGTATATATTTTATGACAAATACAAAAAAGGAAGGAAGAAACTGCAATTTAGTAAGTCACTCCGAACAGGAGTCACTGAAGGCCACATTCATGGCCACCCCAGAGCAGTCCCAGCTCTGCAAGGTAGACCGGGCCCATCCTCCAGACCAACAAACTGAGGCTCAGCAGGAGCTCCAGGCTGGACCTCCTCGAAACTCCCAGCACCGTGCCCCACCATTTCCCAGCATCTGGGGTCCCTGGGGTGCATTGCTACTGAAGTCCCCCTGAGCCACGTGCTCCATGAACCAAGAAAGGCCTCAGGGAAGCCGGGGCCTGCCGCAGGGCCACACTGGCGTCTGTCTTGAGGTCTCCAGTCGCCTGGCTCTGTGGACACCGAGAGAGGGGAGCTGGGCCGAGCACGTGCTAGACGCCTTCCTTCCCGCCGCGGGATACTCCTTTAGGAACCTGAAACTCTGTTAGGAGGAGATGTTCCGGGAAGCATCCCGAGGAGCCCCAAGACAGAAGGTACAGAGTCAGGACTGGAAGTGACTGGGGCTGAGGGACAGACTCTTGGCGCCAGGCAGCAGATGCCCAAGACCTAGGTCAGAAGCAGGGGATCATAAGACGCTTCGGTCAGAAGTGGCTTCATCCATGCCGGAAGGTTCCTGGTCCATCGCAGGCTGGTGCCAGCCTGTCGCTGGTGCTGACAGACCAGGGTCAGGTCAGAAAGCTCCAGGTTGCACTCAGTGGTTTCACCTTTTACACTTGGGAAGACTCTGGAGAAAACAGACTGGAGTGGACCAGGCGCTGTCACGGGCTTCTGGCTCAGGAAAGCTGTGGTCAGGCTGGAGCTGCACAGTGGACAGACACCCAGATGGCTGGGACCCGGCGGACAGGGCCCGGGTGTCACTGAGGTTCCTCCGAGCCGCACAGCAGCCCGGGTTCTGACGTCCTCCTAGCACCTTACAGACGCAGCCTCCAGCTGTGCTGTACTCCCAACCCACCTGAATCTTATCTTTAGAAGGGGATTCTTGTAGAAGCACACACAATCTGCCGGTCTTTGCCTCTTAATTGGACCTGCTGGACGGCTACCAGAAGGATTTAAGCCCTTTTTAATTTTTCACAGATCTACAAAGTAGGTAGGCAGATTAGATAGGAGACAGAGGACAGATGATAATAAATAGAGGCGGTGTAGGGAGATAAAATGAGGGCAGGGATGAAACTGCAAAGAGAATTCAAACTCAAGCAGGAAACACAATTATATTGCAAATGATTAAATGAACACACTGAGAAAGGAAGAGACAAAATTAAAATTAACCAGCAGGACTGTCTGCAGAGTTTGGACCACAAACCTTAAAGCTGAAGGAAGCAGCCGCCAGCACACAGCCAGCTGAGCTGAGGCTGACGCAGGTCCCCGTGGGTGGGGTCTGGATAAGGGGCCAGGTTTCCCCTACCAATGGCCAGCGAGGTGTGCAGGGTGAGCCTGAGTCCTGTGTACTGCGAGGCCACACTCACATCATACCTGCACATTTGCACACCTGCCTCTAGGTGCACACCTGCCTCTAGGTCCACACCCGCATTTGTACTGCACATGGTGAATTCCTAGAGGCTGTGACACCCAGCAACAGCTGACCCAGGTGCAGAGGCCCGCACTTGATCCCAGCTGCCGGCTCGCTGGGCAGGAGAATGGCAAGCTCAAGGCCAGCCTGGGCAACTTAGCCAGACTCTGACTCAAAGTGAAGTTTAAAAACAAAACTAAACACGAGGCCTGGGTTTAGCTTGGTGGGAGCACGCCTGCCTAGCATGCTTGAGGTCCAGGGTTCAATCCTTGAACAGCAAAAAAAATAAAGCAATACAAATAATGCCACGTAGCCTGCCAGTGTGGCCCCTGGACCCCACCCTCCATCAGGCAACCAGCACTCTCGGAGATGCCGAACCCAGGCCTGGCAGGGAAGAGCAAGGTGAGCCTGTGGCAGCAGCGAGCCAGGGATGCAGGGGGTGCTCATGGGATGATGTGCAGTGGCAGCAGAACCAGGCTCCCATGGGAAGGGAGCCCGCAGGGACAAGAGGGGCTGATCCCCGGGAGCAAAGTAAGGGGCTCGAGGTCATCCTGGGGTCCAGGGGAGTCTGAGCATCGGGCGGGAGGGCACACTGCTCCTGCCAGGGGACGCCCCACTCTGTGGTCCCACCCCTGTGTGGCGGCCACCGAGCAATCACAGAGCCGGTGGAGCTCTGATGAGAGGTAACATTTGTCTAGTGATGAGGCATCCTTGTGTAAGTAGGTATTATAAAACAGGAGAGGGTTTAATGCCACGCCCATGGCCAGTCTGCCCCGGGGTGGGTAGAGGGTCCGCCTGGCTCCAGGCCAGGAGCCGCTTGGGGAAGGCGGGCCCGAGGGCCAGGAGCAGGGCCCATCCCCGAGGTGCTGGGTCCCTGGACAAGCTGGGACTGTACCAGGGCCCGACCTTGTCTGAGGGTGCAAACAGCTGCTGGTGCCCTCACTGCCCACTGCTGCCAGCTATGTCTCCTAGAACTGAGCCGCCTGCTCCCCACCTGGTGCTCAGCGGTGGGGGTCCTTCTCCACAGCCACGGTGGTGACATAGGGCCTGGGTTGCAGGGCCTCAGGATCTGCGGGCTCCTCCGCTCCTTCCTGCCTCTCCCCCTGCCAGATAAAGGGAGAGTGTGTGCTGTGTCCAGGCTCCCAGCCTCGGCCTAGTGGAGGGGCTGGTGCGGGGCCCCCAACCAGCCAGGAGAACCCTACCACACAGCTCAGAAACCAGCTCAGGGGCAGCGGGCCGGGCGTAACTGGATGGGGATGGTCTCCGGGGCCCCACGGCCTGGAACTCCTGTCACAGAAGGGGCCGGAGCAGCTGGCCCAGGACACAGACACGCGTGAAGGGGGAGACCCCGGTCTGGGCACTTGCTCTGTGACCCCCGAGACGGACCCACAGGGCCAAGGCGAGGCAGGCTGTGCACACCGCCCCAGCCCAGCTGTCACCACCCGTCCACATCCCTCTAAGTCACCGGCCACCCAGGGAAGGGGGCCTCTGCAGAACGAAGTGAACTCCACCGCCCTAGGGCTGGCACTCGAGACCAGCCGCTCCGGCTGCCTCAGAGCCCCCAGACCTCCCTGCACCCGGGACCCAGGGTGAGGATGCACGAAGGTGCTGACCCGCCCCTTTGTGTGACTCCGTGCACGGGGCCTCCCAGGCCAGAGCCAGTCTGCACAGGGGGCCTCTGCTGCCCCATTGGCCCTACACAGGGGAGGACACCGTCCTGGCCTCAGCTCCCCGTGGTCCCCAAGCAGAAGGGTGCAGGCTCCATGCTCGAAATGGCAGGGGTGGCTCAGCAGTTGGGGTCCCACCTCCTCCACCTGCAGACCCCTCAAAGAGGGAAGCCAGAGGCTCCTCCACCATCTCCCAGGGTGTGAGGGGACAGCGCTGGGGGAGGGACGCAGCAAGGCCTGTGGGACCTGAGCCTGAAGGAGGCCAGCCCAGCTCACCCGACGACCTTTTCCTTCTCTTCCGTATCCAGAGGGCTGAGAGAACGCCCGCCAGAGTGAGGGTGCCGACGGTCACCATGCAGGACGCAAGAACAGAGACGCCACAAGGGAGCAGGTGCCATCCTTGCTGCTGGTCCCCGGTTCTGCTTCCCTCTGAAGCCACCCACTGCACCTGGGAGGGAGGACGTGGGCCTGCCGGCCTGGCACAGGGGCACCAGGGGCCGAGGTTGAGGGCAGCTCTGGTCAGCAGCCTGGCTGTGGCCTCCCGTGTGCCCTGCTGCTCCCCATTTTGGGGACACAGAGAGCAGGAGGAGGACGGAGAGCCCAGCAGGGCAGGGAGGAGGGACCAGCAGGGGCTGCAGGAGTCGAGGAAGCCAAGACGGCTCCGAACCCGGGCGGGCAGCCCCTCCCCGCAGATCCGGAGCCACCGGAGCCTCCAGGAGGGGCAGATCCGCTGTGGCCCCAGCTCCCCGGGCTGCTCACTGGGTACTGGCTGGGACCCTGGTGCCGCCCGGGGTTGGGGGGTTGCAACCCTTTCTGCTGGGCAGGGGGCGGCGTCCAGGGCTCGGGCTTCCCTTACCTGGTCCAGGGTCCCATTGGGCGAGAAGGTCCCAGGCAGGCAGTCGGCACCTCCTGGGCCTCGGTCCTGCCTTGGTGCTGGCAGGGAAGGGATAGCGGCCCTGGGTCACACTGCCACTCAGTGGTCACTGGCACTGCCCACCAGCTGCCCCATCAGCCCCTCCCCGGCACCTGAGCGGAAGTGAGGAGACTCGAGGTCCGAGCCCCGTCAGAGTGGCCAGGGCTCCTTTCCCTCCAGGCCAGGCCCCTCCCGGCCGCCCCTCCTCGGAGGACAGGGCTGGGACAGGAGAACCTGGGCTGGCCTGTGCCTTCCCCTTCCCTGGGGCATCCAGGGCCCTGGGGTGAGGGTGAATGTGGCACAGCTCACGTCTCTCCTTCACCCTCCAGCCAGGGTGGCAGGTGGTGTGGGGCTCGCACAGGACACAGGGTCCCCTTCCTGGGCCTTGCAGAAGTGGCCTTGGCCACAGTCACACGCGGCATCCTGGGTGCTGGAGCTCCTCCACCACAGGGACCACACAGCTGTGCACTGGGCTCAGCCGGGTCTGGGCGGCGCTGGATGACCAGCCGCATCCCTGTGGGTCTGCATGTCCGTCCCTGGCCCTGCCCTGCCAGGTTCCTGCCAGAGAGCCCCTGGCCCGGCAGGAGCATGGTGCCAGGGTGCCCAAAGCAGAGGTCTGATCCCATGAGGGACAACCCGCAGGGGCAGGGGAGGGAGGAGGAGGAGCCCAGCAGGGCCCCTGACAGGGAGCCAGGCCTTAGGGAAACTGAGGCCCTGTGCCCAGGCAGGACCCTGGGAGCTGCAGAGGGGCCCGGAGGTGAGGGCCCCAGGAGCCAGGTCCCAGACACCCCAGTCCTGCCCAGCAGATTGGCTCCGTCCAGGCCACCAGGCCAAGGGGGCAGAGGCTGGCACAGGGAGGCTCTGCCCACCTCATTCCTCCTGAGGGACAGTGTCACCAGCCACCCAAGCCCCCACCCGGCCCAGTCAGACAAGCGCTGCCCTGGCCAGGTGGCTGTGGTCAGGAAACTGTGGTATAGCCTGAGGTTGGAGCCCCCCACCCACCTGAACCCCAAGGGATTACAACCTCCCACCCCCCACTGTCCTCCCAGCCTCTTCCTGAGCACCACAGGCTCCAAGCTGCTGTCCCGCAGGGATACAGAGGACTGGTGCTGAGCCCTGGCCCGGATCGCCTACCAGTGGGGACCTGGAGCAGCCAGAGGCCCGGCGTCGCCCGTCTGTCTGCTGTCCTGGACCTTTGCCCCCAGTCAGGAGCTGGACCCCCTTCTGTGTATCTGCAGCCATGGGAATGACTGGGGAGAAGACAGGAGGAGGCTCTGCCATCCACAGTGCTCTGGGTGGCTCTTGGGGCCTCCGTTTCTCCCCCTGAGGGTGGCTCTGTGGCTAGAAGCTCCGGTGACAGCGTGCAGGGACCCCCTGGGGTGGGTGCCCAGACTCTGGCCTCGGGTGCAGGGGCATGAACCTGGCTCACAGTCCTGCCAGCGCAGGCACTGCCGGAGGCCATTGGGGTGGGCGGTGTAGGTCCCAGCAGGGCAGGGCGAGCACTTAGTGCCTGTCACCTCGCTGCACACTTGCCTCACATGGAAACCTGCAGCCAGGTGACAGAGTCTCAGCAGCAGGAGGCCTGCTGGGTTCCACCAGTCACCCTACCTGGCACCAAGCACATGTGACTCCACCCACAAGGACCATGGGCCACTGAGCTGTCCCCTGGGGACCCAGTGGCCTTCCAGGATGTGCCTCCTTTGAAGCAAGGCAGGTCTGGAAGGATGTGGAGCTTCCTGGGCCCCTCAGCCTGGCCTTGTCTTCCTTTCAGCTTCTGCCTAGCCTCACACCAGCCACCCCAACCCCAGTGCCACTCCAGGACAGGGCAGGGCCCAGATCCTGAGTTAGAGGAGTCCAGGCTGCAGTGTTTGCCCCAAGGCTCCAGCCCCTTGCTATGTGTGTCCCCTGGGCCAGGGGATTTGTGCTACCTGGGGCTGGAGACACTGAGGACAGAGGTGCTCAGGGTGGCAGGGCAGGGGGCCTGGCCCAGCCCTCTGGGGCTCCTGCTTGGACTGCTCTTGGGGCAACACTCAGAGCCTACCGGGAACTCCTCCTCTCTGCACGCAGGCTGGGCAGGGGTGCGTTGGGGGGACCCCAGCAGGAGGAGGCACAGTGCCTGGGCAAGGGACAGACACTGGAGGCGAGTGGCTGTCTGTCTGTCCCGTGCCCCTGCCAGACTGACCCTGGGGCCTCCTTCTCCCCGCAGGGCAGACAGGAAGCTGTAGCTCCGGGGCTGGCAGTGCTGTGGCGGGGGGCGGCTGAGCTGGCGTCTGGGCAGGCTCAGGGAACGGTCTAGGATGGCCCTTCTCAGCCTCCCCTGCCTGTCACAGTGGGACCTGGCAGCTCGGTGAGTGCCCTCCCCGGGAACCCCTCCCAGCCAGCCTTGAGCCACGCTTGCCTACACCCTGCTGGCCTCCTGCAGGCCTGCACTGGACCCACTGCTCCCTGGGAGGCTGCAGCGAGCCAGGCTGGCCTCCAGCTGACAGCCCGCACTGGGACAGTGCTGCTCTGGGACTCCACTCCAGGCTGACTCCGGGCCCCACCTGGCAGGCAGGAAGCCACCCTGGCAGGAGCTGCTTCCTCCCCAGCTCCTGGACCCTATGAGCCTGCACAACACCATGCTTATCACCAGAGCACAGGGCTGCAGGTGGAACCGCCATTGCTCCACGGCTGGCCCAGGACTCTCTTCCAGCTCAGGGCTGCCAAGAGCCCCCTTCCCAGCGGCCGTCCCCTGCCCATGGGTCCCCACCTGCTCCACAGGGCACACAGGCGGTGCTGGGTGGGTGACTCTTCCCTGGAGCAGATGTGGTCCAGGGCAGGGAACCGGCGAGGGGCCAGGGCTGGGGTCACTTGCTTGGATACTTACCAGCCACAGGACATTGGCTTCAGGCACTGGGTGCCAGGGTCCAGGCCCCCACCTTGGCAGAGCCCTCATGACCTTGGTCAGGACGCAGCATGGCCAGGACCCCCATGGGCAGGACCAGCCGAGGCTCTTGGGCTCATGGACTTCCTGGTAAACCAGCAGGCAGAACTGAAAGGAAAAGCGAAACAGCAGCAGAAGGACAGCCCCCGCTGGCAACCTCAGGAGCGGCTTCTGCCCCTGGTCTCCGGTGCCTGCCCTTCGGCTCCTGCTGCCCTGTGGGGCCGGAAGACCCACTGTGACAGCCTGGAGGGCTCGGGGTGCTGTCCCCGCCCTGAAAGCGGGACTCAGCCCCGCTGTCTGGGAAGAGCCTCGGGCTCGAGGCAGGAAGGGCAGGGAGAGCAAGGGAGAGCCTACAGGACAGTCACCAGCCCTGCTGGGACCCAGTCTCTCCTGCACCCTGAGATCCCTCTATAACCCAAAAGCCACCGAGCAGGTGCTGACCCTGCTGGGCTCTGGAGGCTCGGGGTTCCTGCTGCTGCTTGCCTCAGCTTCTGCTGGAGCAGAGCTGCCCTCCAACGGCCTTGTTTCCCCACTTCACGCTCACTTCCCTGCATGGTCATTTCCCGGTGTGGACGTCTCCCCACCATGGCCAGGGCCTGGCTCTGCTGGCCCCCGCTCAGCTCCGGGAAGGGGTGATTCCGGGAAGGCCACCCTCACTGGGATGGAGGGTCAGCACCTGAGGGGCTCCCCACTGTCCCTGCGAGGGAGGCGGCAGGTGGTTTTTGCTCCGGGCTCCCATGTGGAGATGCTGCCCACCCAGGCCACCTCCCTGCTGCCCACTGCCCACTGGGTTTTCCCACCGCACAGCTGCCCCTCTGAGCCACAGACATGGGCAGCCAGGGGCTCGCAAGGGGGAGCCCAGGCCCCTCGGGGAGGCGCACTTGAGCTAGACCTTGGCACCCTGCCCCTCCCCATGCCCCGTGATGGCCCGGTGTCTCTGTGGGCCTCTGTGTGGCCAGGCCAGATCCAGGCCCACCGAACCCTTCTGGGTCCTGACTGCCCCACAGTCCTCCTCCAGGGTCCCAGGCCTGACCCTCCTGCCTCAAGCCACTGGGCAGGGTCCACTGGATGTGACAGAGGGGATCACACCCACCCTGAGCCCCTGACTGCAGGAAGAGCATCCACAGAGTGGCCAGCCACAGAAGCAGAGCCAGCCCACATGGTGACCCTTGCAAACATCGGGGTCAGCTAGGGGTGCCACATGTCCCCGGAGGGGCTTTCCCCTGGCAGAGGTCACACGGGGTGGCCCTGGCCCCGGCCACCCTCATGGTCACCGGCTGCACGTCCTGGGCCGTGGGGCAGGCATGGTTGAGCAAGCACAGAGTGCTGAAGGGTCAATGCCTGCCAACTCAGGGGCAGGGTCTCCTGCTGGCTGGCCCCTGTTCCCGAGAAAGAGCCCGGCACCCCAGTCCCCGGAGGAGGGGACCAGGTGGGGCCCAAGGGCGTGGGAGTCTCAGGCTCCCACCTCGTGGCTGAGGGTGGTGAGGGGTACCTGCCCCACCTTTCCCAGGAGCTCCCAGTACCCACAGGGACTTCCGGGGGGGGGGCATCCCCAGCCACTCATACCCTGGGGAGCATCCACAGCACCTCAGGCCTCACAGGGACTCGGGGTTTGGGGACACTCCTCAGGGTAGGCCCCTCCTGTCCCCACTCGCTCCTCAGCACCAGCCAGCTGGCGTTGGTGATGAAGGGCCAACCGAGGAGGCTGGTGTCCCTCGAGAGCTGTGACCTGCTGGATCTCCCTGAGTTCACAGGGGCAGGGAAAGGTCAGTTCAGCTCCAGCCTGGGGCTCCACCTGGCTCCTGGGGTCCCTGTTTCCTGGTGGTGGGCTGGAGCCCAAGCCCCTGGCTCTCTCTCCTGTGCCCCTGGACCTAGAGCCCCCAGTCAGGCTCCGGCCCACTTCACCACACCCTCAGGGCCAGGGGAGGCTGCTGGGCACCGCAGACACTTGGGGACAGCCTCAGGCAGATGACACAGGCCAGAGCAGGAGCCCAGACCCCCGCTCTGAGACGGGGCTGCCCCCCAGGCAGGCCCCACAGAGCAGGTCCCAGCGGTGCCCCTGACACACAGGGCATCCTTGCAGGACTCGCGCCATGGCCAGTCTGGAAATCTCCTGTGCCATTCCCTCTCTCCTCCCACGGGTGGCAGAGGGCTCTAGGGTAGCTGGGAGGCTGGGGAGCCGGTGCTCGGGCCCAGCCCTGAGGATGGGGTCTGAGGCATCCTCCACTCCTCGGCCTCCAAGGCCGGCCTGGGCTGTGGGCCTCTGGGCAGTGACCTGGCGCCCACCCTCCAGGCCACGGTCCAGCCAGGCAGAGGAGTCTAAAAGCCACACTGGCACTGCTCTCACCTGGGCAGCACGTGCCTGTCAGGGGACAGGGTGAGCCATCAGAGAGAGGGGCTCAGGAGGAGTGGAGGCGCATGTGTGCTGGGGACACAAGGTGCTGCGTGGAGGACAGACAGGTGGGCTCTGGAGAGGCAAAGGCAGGGCTAGCCGTGAGGGGCAGCCAGGACATGCACGGGGTCTGCGGGTGGATGGAAAGGCCCGGCCTACGGGCCTGGTGTCTGGGGACAGAGGAGAGCCCTGGGGTGGGACAGGTGGTCGGGGGTGTGGGAGCTCTGGGGTGGCCTGGGACTTCCCAGGGGCCAGACTTCTGCCACCAGCTGCCTGTTCCTTGGGCGGAACGGGAAAGCAGAGAATCGGCTCAGGATCCAGCCCAGGCCGGTATGGGCAGGGTCCCGACACCCTACCCGCTGGCGTCTGGCACTCCCTGCCCTCCTGTCCCTTGGCAAGCTCCTGCCTGCAGACAGCGGCCATCCTGGCGCCTGCTGAGCCTGCACCTCACCCTGGCCATGTCCAGCCACCTCGGGCTCTGGGAGGCTCCCTGCTCCAGGCCAGGCCTCGATTCCTCTCCTCCCCGCTCCCGGCCTGGGCCAGACAGCCCCCGGGGAGGATTCCAGCCCAGACTCAAACGCTGCAATCAGCTCTCCCTCACCTCGAGCCAGCCCAGCCCTTGCCCGCCCGCCTGGTCACTGGGCTGCTCTCCGGCCAGACCCTCGCCACCCTCCTTCCTGCCCAGGCTCGGCACTCAGGGGGCCCCGGCCCTGCAGTGGCAGCACCGGTATCCAGGCATGCTCCTGCCCATACGGTCATTCTGGGTCAGTGCCGGTCCTCGCTCCAGGAACCGCCAGCTGCTCCAAAGCTCGTCCTGGGGGAGCCCAGGGCAGGGACCTGAGGAGTAGCCCCAGAGCCCAGCACACTCCTTGCTGCTGATAGAGGGGAAGTAAATGTGACTCCCAACCTGCTAGATGCCAGTACACAGAGCTTGTGTTCCCTAGAATGGAAGAATGAAATCTAAGGAACAATGGAGGTTGAGTAGGAAAATTTATTGAGAGAGAGAGAGATAGCTCCTGAGAGACAGGACGGGACCCAAAAAATGGGCTGTTGCAGACCCCATTTATAGAGGGTTGTGTAGACCAGAATCACGAGGTGGGTACAACATGGGAGAAAACTATGATCACCTAGTAAGATTACAAGTTTAGCCACTTAGGTGACATTGATCCAGCGGGGAAGCAGGTCACCAAGCGAGTGTACGTGGAAAGAACAAGGACCTTTCTAGGAAGAGATGAACCACAGGGTCCCGGCTACCCCCCAGCGCGACTTCACTGGACCAGGTGAGCACAACCCCAATGCATCCTCATCCCTTGGGGGGTTGCAGGCTTGGTCACCCCGTTCCCATCTTGAGGCCTGGCCCTCCACAGATCCACCTCCAGCCCTGTCTGACTGCCTAGAACATTTGTACCTAGCTTAGCTGTCAATAATACTGCCTCAGGCTCAGCTCAGAAAGCCTTGTGCTGTCCCTTGGGAACCTCGGGGACCTGGGCTCCCACAGCCCCTTCGGAGAGGGGAGGGCGTCTTCGAGCAGAGGAAGGAGAACATCTGAGCGGCCAAGGGAGGAGACAAGAGGACAGGATGCTGGGTCACAGCAGCCACAAGGTGGAGGCCCCGAGGCGCAGGGGCTGTGAACCCAGAGGCCGCCATGCTCTGCCGGAGGGGCCGCCTGGAGGTCGGGCAGCTGTCAGGAGGGCAGTTTGGGGTAAATCCTAAAGTCTCTGAGCTCATTGTGCCATGCCTCCAAGGAGTACACCCATCTGTGGGTAGGAATGTACACGGTGCCCTCCTGGGGTGTGGGAAGCAGCCTGAGTGTTCTTCACAAGGGCCTGGCAGCTGAGGCACTGACACATACCTGTGATCTCAGGAGTCTGGAAGGCTGAGGCAGGATTGGAAGTTCAAGACCAGCCTGGGCAACTTAGTGATGTAGCAATAACTAATCTAAAAATAAAAAATGGGCTGGGGGTGGTAATGCAAAGGCCCTGGTTCAATGCCCAGTACTGAAGGGAAAATAAAGGAAGCTGGTTACTTTAGCATCCTGGAAAAACAGCCTGGATTTCCCCTCCGGCCCCAAAAGCTAGAAACAGAAAATGCAAGAATCAGCCATTTTCATAAATTGCACCATATGAAAATGTGAGTCCCAGGAGAGGGGCACAATTGAACATGCTCTACGATCAGACAGTCTTTGCATAAGAGCCCTAGAAGGGACAGGACACGCTTCTCAGTGACGAGCCACCTTCCCATTGTTCCACTGTCATCATGAAAACGAAAGACTGCTGACGCTGCCCTCTCCTCTGCATCAGGGGCCGTGGATTTAACCTCACGAAGGAGACACAGAACACATGAAGGTGCTGGTGGTGCCTGCTGTGCCCAAGCAAGACTCTGGGGGCAGGCACCTCTCCCAGGCCCTCCCAGTGCCAGCGGTCACCACTCGGCCCCTCACTCCCACCTTCACTGGGACACCCAATAAGGACTGCTGCAGACGACAGTGACACCCGCCAGCCATGGGACCGATGACCGATGTGGCCCAGGAAGGCAGGGCGGCTGCTCAGGCCCCAGGGGTCCTGCTGTCCTCAGCCAACATTTATGCAGCCCCTGCCACGTGCTGGAAGAGGGGCACAGGATGCTGTCGGGCTGTCCCCCCCTCGGGGGACAGAGTGCTGACAGTGGGGCCACAGAATCTGAGCGTGAGTGCGACACACAGGGGCACGGCTCCCGGCACAGAAGGCGCAGGTCACCCACAAGGGCCCGCTCTCTGCCCGCGGCTGCCCTGTCCCTCTCCTGGAAAAAGCAGACTTCTGCCCCTGCCCAGCCGGCAGGGCTGCGACACCAGGGGGACATCCCCAGGGCCAGGGGTTCCCCAACAGGTTCTTCCTGTCTGGCCTCCACCTACCCTGCCTGGCTTTCCCAGAGGCTGTGGAGAGACCCGCCCAGCTGGGCATCCCCTGCCTGCCCCAGCCCGACAGAAGTGCGACCCCTGGATGCAGCTGGGGACGTGTGGCAGCGGAGTGGTGGCTGGGGTGCACTTGGGTCCTGGGACCCTCCACCGGGGAGTCCCTGGGGAAGATGCCGCTTCCACCAGGGAGACCCCAGACCCCTTCCCTTCCTCCAAACTGAGAGGCCACAGGCCCAGGGCTTCACTGTGGACAGGAAGAGCCCACCAGAGGGCACCAAAGCCCAGACCTGGGCTCCCTGACTGCCCTGGGCTCCTCCTCAGCCCGGCATCTCAGAGCATACTACCTTTAAGATCTCTGCCCCTGGGGGGATAAAGGGCTCCCCTCCCAGTTCTGGGAACGCGGCTGGGCCAGGGAGTTGGAGAAAAGCAGCACTTACTCAGGGAATGATGAGAAAGAGAACCATTTGAGAGGCAAGGAGAGCAGAGGCAGCTGGAGGTCGGAGGCACCCCTCCCCGCTCCGTGTGTCCCCGGGCTGGCCCTCAGTCTGCAGGCCCCCCGGCTTGCTCATCTGAGTGGGGACAATGACCTTCTGCCCCTGGGCTGCTGGCCAGGTGACTTCGTGGGCAGCCAGGCCCTTGGCGGGGACCAAGCCCGATCCACCTCACCAGAGAGGGAGTCGCCCCGGGTCAAGGCACCCCAGGACCTTCTCTGACATCACGGTCGGGGGGGGGCCTTGCCCAGGAAACAGGGGAGAGAATCTGGCCTGGAAGCCCTTGGCACAGGGCCGCCTGGAGGCCCTGCGCCCCACCCCCCCAGCCAGGGTCTCGAGTGTCAGACAGAGGGTGCAGGTGTCTCCTCCATTCAAACTCCACTCTGAGGCGGGCACGGCCCAGCACCCTGCCCCATCCGACGCCCGCACACCCTCCGCACACCGCCAAGACCTCTTAATGTGCAGCCTGTGCAGCCCAGCCACTTCCACATGAAGCGCAGCCTCACAGCCCAGAGGAGCAGGACGGGCCCTGGGCCCCTCCCACAAGTCCCTACAGCTCTGCCAGCCGCCCCAGCTGTGGGCATCTAACCGCCCAGGACCCCTCCTGCCATGTGCACTGACCCTAACCCTGAGCCCAGGGTGAGCAGAGAGGGCTGAGAGGCTCTGGGGAGGCAGTGGGCAGGTCTCCCCAACATCTTCATCCATGGCCACAGGGCTGCAGAGCGAGGGAGCAGAGAGCAGACACCAAGCTCCCAAGGCCCATGCCCCACCCAGCCTGGATGACGCCCACTGCCGCCACCCTCACCCCCAGGCAGGCCGGGTGTGGGGCTCACCAGGGGCCTCCATCGCCTCCTCGGTCCCCAGCTCTGGCTGGACACACGCCATGCGAACTTCCAGAGGAGCAGCAGGACCCTGGGCGGCCTGTGGTACTGCCACCTGCTGCCCAGCGTGGGACCCAGCTCAGAAAACCCTGCAGCCAAGGCAGCCCGGAGGCGATGGTGCTTTTATGCCTTCCCTCTGGGAAGGGATGGGGATTTGGTTGGGCGGGAGCTCCCCCCCCCCACACCTGCAGCCAATCAGCAGCCACGGCTGGACCACGCCCCCAAAATCCAGGCTGAAAGAGGACAAGCCCCGCCCACAGGTGCAGTGTGGGCCCAGAGCTGCCTACATGTGGGGCCGAGTCTCGCCCTTGCAGCCCTGCAGGGGACCCAGAGGCCCAGCCACCTGCCCAGGACACGGGGCCAGGGGCAGGGCCATGCCTAGAGGCCTGTGTCCAGAGCAGCTCCTCCACCCCTGGCTTTCAGACAGGACAGACTCAGGACAGGCATCCACTGCCCTGTCTAGCCATCGGACCTGTCCTCCGGGGCCACTCAGCCCCTCCAGGGCTCCTCCAGCCCATGGCATCTGTTAGGGTCCCCCCGGCAGGGCAGGCCAGAAACCTCAGCGTCAGGCAAAGGGCGCTCGCCAACTGTGTGCAACCTGGTGGGGCCAGGGCAGCCTCCTCCTGCAGCTCCTGCTGGTCCGGGCTCCCAGGAAGCCCCCACTGCCCCCTCCCTCCCCGGCCGGCCGGTCATCGGAGATGTCCGGGCACCTAATTCTTGGAACAGGGACCCTTGGGCCTCCACAAGCCTCGCCTTGGCCTGGACTTGGTGAACAGCTGACTTTCAGGGTTGGGGGAGGGCTCGCCCCCTCCCTCCGCAGGATGGGCTGCTGGCTGGGTGGGGTGAAGGCGAGAGGCGGGGGGAGACCGCCTGGGCCGGGCTCGGGGCCGAGCCATGGGGAGGACTCTGAACAGGGGTGGGTGAAGGCCGGCGGGGCCAGCGGCAGGGCCACTGCCAGGCACAGCTCTGCTCCGCCGGGTGAAAGTCCTCTCAGGGGTCCTCCCCTCGGCTCCCTGGGATGAATGACAGGGCCAGGACCGTGCCAGGGACTGCCAGCCTCAGGCCCGGGGCAGGGGTGGCTGCGCGTGGCTGCACAGGCTGCTCTGAGACCAGCTCCTCGGACTTCCTGGCCCTGTGACCGTCGAGCCCAGTGTGGCTTGGGGTGGCCAGGTAGCTGTGGCTGCTGCCCCGCTGGCCCCGCCTACCTGGAGGCCCTGAATGGCCGGGTGCCTTTTGTGGGAGAGCAGCTGGTGCCCGGCCCTTTATGTGGGGCTGTGGGAAAGTCCCAGGGCCAGCCTCTCACAGCCTCTCAAAAGCCGGGATTATCTCTGGGCCGCAGGACACCCTCTCGGGACCACCCCCAGCAGGGCCGGGGGCAGGGGCACCCGGGACTCCCGTCTGCTGAGCTCTGGCCCTAGAAGTCCCTGGGCCTGGAAGAGTCCCGGGACAGGAGAGAGATGCTGCCCCTCCCCATCCAGCTGTGGAGACTCAGATGCCCACCCCGCCCAACCGCCCAGGCCTCTGGCCCAGGAGGGGCATCTGCAGAGGGGCTTGCTTGGGATCGAGACCTCCACTCCCACCCACGCTGTGCCACCGCTGGCCCAGACTGCCAGCCTCGAGGGTGCTCAGGGCTGGGCCAGCAGGAAGGTGCAGCTGTTCCACACCTGTTGCATCCTCTCCACTCAGAGTCCAAGAGGCCAGTGGAGCCATGCCCAGCCGCCTCCCCCAAGGTCACGCTGTCCTCTCCCCTGCCGACCCCGTCCCAGGCAGTGTCAGTCTCCTCCAGGAAACCAGGTTCAGAGTGGGTGGCAGAGGCAGAGAGGGCTGTGACTCCCAGCCGCCCCGTGCTGAGGACACTGCTTGTATCCACGGCGCGTCCTCTGTGGATGCCCGGTTGGGAGGGTTGTCAGCCCATTTCACAGATAAAGAAACTGAGCCCAAGAGCTGAGCTGCTACCACATTGACTTCTGCACCCACAGCTGTACCCCCAGCCCCTCCCTGCAGTGGCCAGCCAGGGCGGGGCAGAGGCAGATCTCCCGTGGTGTCCTGGGCACACATAGCCCTGCCAGGGACAGGGCACAGGGACCTGGCTATGGGAAGGAGATGGCGCTGGAGGGCCAGATGTTCAGCCTTCCAGTGCTGTTGCCTGGGAGCCGCTGCTGCCTCCCTGGCCTGAAAGGCTGCCCGGGGGGAGCCCCACCCGCCTGCCCCAGGAAGACTGTTCCCCAGATGGCCTCTGGGGCCCAGAGCTCCTTGAACAAAGCCCGGGCGGCCCTTGGCGAATGAGTTTGTTGCCGCACACGCGCCTTTTGTGCAAGATGAATGTCCGCAGCCGGAGGCAGGGTGTGGGAACCCACCGGGGAGGGCCTCCCGCCCAAATTCCCCTCACGGACAGAGAAGGGCAGTGGCTGCCTGGAAGGCGCCCAGAGCCCAAGCCAGGGCTGGGCAGGCGACCCTGGCACCCCACAGCCTCAGGACCTGCATCCTGCGCCCTCCCATGTGGCCCTGCGCGCACTGACCACCTCCTCCCTGCTCGGGTGGAGGGGCAGGGTCCAGGGGGACCGGGCTGCCGCTCTCCTCTCTCCTGGCTCTGGGCTGGGACACGGCTGCCCAGTGGGCCTTGATTCCGGAGGCCACCCCAAGACTCCCAGGGAGCGGGACACCTTCAAGGCAGAGGCGGCCGCCCCCTCGAACCATGCTCCTCCCCTGTTGAGGCCAGGACCCGCTGTGGTCCTGGAGGGGGGCCGGAGGTCGAGGTGGGGCCACTTCCAGCAGAGTGGGAAGGGCAGGACCAGGTGGCCTCCTCTGGCCCCACCTGAGCGGAGCTCTTGGCACTGCACCTGGCACCCAGGAGCCATGTAATAAAGTGGACTGGCAGCCTGCCCCTGACAGCGGGCTCCAGAGCTGAGGGCACTGGGGTGGTGGGGCTGTGGGAGTGGGTAGCACCGAGCTCCCAGGGTGGTCAACATGGTGGCGGCAGAAGATGGGAGCCCCGTGGGTGCCCCAGGAGTGTTGCGGTCCTGCTGGAGCTGGGAAGAGGCCTGGCCCTGGAGAGGGGCTGAGGGTCAGGGAGAAGTCGCCCCGGTGCACAGGGCCCGAGCCCCGTCCGTGACCTGGATCCCCCAGCACTCGGCAGCAGAGGTTCATAGATGGGGTGCTCCCCACCCTGCCAGGCTGGCTGCCAAGCCCAGTCTCCTCTGGGCATCTCAGCTAGGGCGGGGCAGGTGTGTGAGAAAGGGGGCTTGCCCTCGGAGCCCCAGGCCCTCTTCCTCTTCTGTCCCCCATGAAGGCAGTTGGCCACCACCCCAGGCCTCACTGCCGCCTCCAGGGTGTCCCTCTCCCGGATTCTGCACCCCCAAAGCATGGCGCTCCCTGTCGCAGAGGCCCAACCAGGCCGGGGGACTCCTTAGTGATCGTCAGGCCAGCCCACTGGGCGCTGGATCGCAGGTAGCACAGGGCGGACCTGACCTGCCTGTCCAGCCGGGGAGGGAGCAGCTGCTTTCCCACACAGGATAGCCCACCCTCTGTCCTTTCCGCCCTCCCTGCCCCAACTCAGAGGGTCACTCTGACCCCAGCCACCAAGGGGCAGGCTGGCCCTCAAATCTTTCTGGGCCTCGGTTTCCTGGCCTGTCCAATGGCACAGCGATGCTGGGCCTGAAGAAGTGTAGCCACGCTGGGGAAGCTGGCAGGTGGAGAGGGACAGCGAGGATGCAGCTGAGAAGGTGGAGGCCCCACCTCGTGCGGGCAGCTGCGGAGAGGCCGCAGGACACCTGTTCGAGGGCGGTGGAGGCCCCTCCGCACCCTGCCTTGGGCTCCATCAGGAAGCAGAGCCCAGGGTGGACGCTGTGCCGGCTTCGCTCAGCGAGCTTCGTTCCTGGCACTGACATCTGAAGTTCATCTCATTCCACGCATCACGCAACACTCATCTTCTGTGGATGTTACCTAAAAGTGTACAGCACCCTTCTTGGGGAGGGTGCAGAAGAAGGAAGGGCCCCTGGTGCTCAGCCATGGGCTGGCTGCTTTGCAGATGTCAGTGGTCTGATCAACCCCGAAACCAGGTAAGGAAACTGAGGCAAAGGCAGGGCCGAGTGACCTGCCGGAGGCCACACAGCTGGGAGACGCCCCATCCCCAGGCCAAGAGTCAGGGGCTTGGGGCTGGCCGTGGGTGTGTGGCCCGGTGGCTCCCACAGTGCTGGCTGTGCGGCGCGGGGAACTGTGCCGGCCCGAGGTATTAGGGCCAGGCCTGCCTCTGAATGAATGGAGGCGGCTGCAGGGGGCGTGGGGGGCAACTCCCAAAAGACCATCTGGCTCCTCCTCATAATAGAGCAATAAAGGCTCGGCTGCCTTTCAGGAGTTGGGAACGAGCTGCTCTCTGACACGGCGGGGTTTTTAACCAGCTTGGGACTGCGACCTGGCCCTGCCCTGGCGTGCAAGGGGGCAGGCGGGCAGGGCGCGGCGACGTGGGCCTCGCAGCCCTAATCCGAGCATGCACCATGAGAGCTCGGCCCGGCTTTCCCACCGCCCACCTCTGCCCACTGCGCCCAATCTGCAGGGCCCATGTGATGCTGGGACCATGGCAGCAGCCCGGGTTTACCTGGGGTAAACTGAGGCTCACGGAGGCTGGGGCTGGAGCCTGGCATCTCCACCTCTGCTACTCTGGGGTCTGCACCAGCCTGAATTTGTGGCAAAGCTGGGGCTTCCAAGTCTGTCGGGGAAGCGCAGGGCTGAGGACCCAAGGGGGCACAGCAGCCGCCCTTGCTTTCAGGGATGTGAGTTCCAACCTCACAGTGGCCTCAGAGCCACTGCAGCAGGTGGAGAATCTGCCAGGGCTGCGGCTGGCTTGGGGGTGCAGTCCCCCAACACCACAGCCTGAGTCCTTAAGCCCAGGCCGGAGGTGGCAGAGATCGACAGCCTACGGACCTGGTGCCAGTGCTGAGTCCTGTGCAGGGCCCCCACTCCAGGGCAGTGCCCCCAAATCAGACACCAGAAGGGGCCCTGGCGAGA